AATATTCGTCGATATTGGTTAAGAAACAGTCCGTATCATCAAACTATCACGATATTTTACGTTCTTCATTTTCATTTTCGTTCACATTTTCAGTCCAGCACCTTTTCTCTGTCTCTTACACACCTCCTTCCTTAGCTGTCCGCGATCATGCTCGCACCTCACTTCCGCATCCCCACAATTACAATCCCTGCTTCCAGGAATTACACAGATCTAAAAAATGTCACTCCTCCAATCGCCTCTTGTTCCTTCGTCTACTCTCCAATTCGATCGGATTTACCGACGAAGCGCCGTCTTCGTCCTTCCAGTTCCGTCGTCATTTCCTGCAAATCTTCTCCCGGAAGCTTCGGTCCTCAATTCATCCCCGGCAACGATCCCCGCCACGAGTTCGTCGAAGCTTCTCTCCTCATTTCAGGTTTGTATTTTCTATTTTTAATCCCGAAGGTTTTTTTTTTTTTTTGAATTTTTTTTAGAAATTATTGTCGCTGCAACGTTGTAGAAACTGCAACGCACCACCGGTTGCTGAGGAAGGGATTTCAAGAGACGAAATGGCAGTCTTCTAAGGGATTGCTTCCCTTTGTCCCGACGAGGGAACCGAGGTCCGATGTTTCTTCAGTGGGAGAAGGATTCCTCAGAGGTTTTCGGAGTCCTACGATCTTTCTAAAGATTTCTTGTAATGGACACTTCTTGCTACCGATTCTTGTAGGTATATGAACAAAAATTCTTGCATGATTAATTCACTGCGTTTTTGGATATCCTGATTGTTGGTTTTTACTGGATCTATGTGCAATTAACTCTAAAAATCATCTGCTAATGCAGCAGAGTATGCTGTTGAAAGTCTTACAGGCACCTTGTTGGGAGATGAGAATGGGGTAATTTGTTAGAAATTGTTGTGATATTTTCTGTAAATTATGTTATTTTTGTATTGATTCCAAGGCATGATCTCGGTGCAGGATTCTCCAGATCAATTCCAGTTCCTAAAAAGTTGTGTGGAAAAGCTTGGCTATGAAGTATGAAGTTAATCTTCTCATGTATTTAAAACATGCTTAAATCTTTAATATCTGTACTTTTTGACTTTTTCCTGCTTTGGTTGCCTTTTGCATTCCACAATATTTATTAAAAGTACTTGCTTATTGTTTGAAGGTAATGAAGGTAATGGTCCTTGTGGATATAGATTTTGCAGTTTCTAATTAATTATTTTGAGAAGCTTTAGCCTTAGAAGAACTAGACAACCCTAAAAGATAACTGCTCGATAATAACAATTTATTGTTTTGAATGATTCTTCTCGAAAGATTTTAAAATGTAGTTGGCCAAAAAAAGAAACATTTTATGATGTTGTTAGCAAATGTTTGATTTAATTTTTGTCCTGTAACCTTGCCTTCATAATTGCCTAACTACTGGTTACTTTGAAGGAGACTATTCACTTTTAACAAGTCATATCTCTTTTAACTGAAATTGTTGTAACTTCATTTCAGGTTAAAATGGTGAGAATTACTGAAAAAGTGATGAATACATACTTTTCAAAATTATACTTTGGCAAGGTAATTTGATGTTTGTAATTGTATATGTTTCTCATCCGCAAAATACAGGAACATAATTAAACCTCTGTTATTATAATCTGCAGCCAGGGGAAAGTGATATTCTAAGTGTAGATGCACGGGCCTCGGATGCCATAAACATAGCTGACAGGTGCAAGGTATGTTCTTGGAACTTTATATTGAATTAATATTCTGTGATACTAGAAGAGGATCAAGACTGTATGCCATCCATCTAGTCCTACTCAGTTATAGCTTTAAAAGCTTTGAATAGCAATGCCTGTTTTTGACTTGCTTCAATAGATAAAGTCAGTTCTAACTTCCAAGGTTGAAAAAATGTCTCAACTTGATTTGATTTGAGTGAGCTGGTTTAATTAGTTTAATCATTTCTGGCTCCTTGCACCTTTGCGTTTCACGTGTTATAATTTTAAACATCTGATTGCTACTCCTAAGCTCTTGAGTCAAATTTGTCTTATGCAGGCTCCCATTTATGTAAATAAGAAAATTATCTTGTCAGATGCTGTTAGAATAGCCTATGGAATGGGCAGAGTGCGTGATAGAAAGCCTACTTATGATGTATCCCTTGACAGGTATAATTTGCGGTTCTTCCACATTGTCTCTCCATGTCACCTATTTTATCCTACTCTTAACAGTTGGCTGTATTTTTCCCAGTGCTGCTGATGGTCCAGATTTACTATCTATTGAACTGGAATTGGTTAGGAATGTGGCTTTAGCTATCAAAGAAGAAAGATATGATGATGCAGGTAATAAGAATATGAATATTAAGTGTTTGTTTAAGTTACAGTTTTTCCCCCTGTTTCCACTCGTCTTCCCCCCCCTCCTCCCCCCCCCCCCCCTTCTGTTTACAAGCATGCATTTGTTGCGCTTACAATATAAAATGGAGTTTTAATTGCCTATTGGTTCTTGCAGCAATGTGGAAAGACAAGCTACTTAAGATTCGCCATTCACAGGATGATGATTAGGTGACCCTTAAGGAATATCCACTCTCCTTTACGTGCTGCATAATCTGCATATAAGCATTCCCTTTTTGGGTTTGTATGACCAACAGAAGGATATATCCTTTTGTTTGGTGGTGGGTCTGGCTACTGTAGTTCAGAACTTTAGAGGAATTTTAACATCTGCAGGGATTGCTTGCTAGGATCACTCGTCAAAACGCAAGCTGTTCCATTGGCCTGTACAGATTAAGGTAGTATGCCAGGATCAATTTGTATTATATGCTTACTGAAAGTTGGCATGTACAGATTCAGCTCCGACTCATAGTGTAGTTTTTGAAGCATGCATATCTTGATTTGTTCATAACCAAAATGTAATATATATTCTATTTCCTTATTGACCGACAATGGAACATGTTTGTAACTGTTGTCACAAACACACATGGAAAAGAGTATATTTTTCTTTTTATTCTAATAAATATTTATTCTTTCTATTATGGATGTTCATGTGGCAATTAGTTGACTTAAAATATATAAGCTGCTTATATTTCCCTCATTAAGATATTCTGTTGGAGATATCATATGGTGGATGTTGATTGGAGACGTGAATCTAGATTTTGGATGAAATAATACAACTATGGATTTGAAATACAAGCTTTCCAAATATGAAGGTGAGAAATACATGGTACATGGTGTATTTGTACCATCTTTAAACTGTCAAACAATTAAGGCAGTCTTTCGAACTTATTGAAGCTCCTGAAGCAGAGACTAGACTCGAGGTCGGGGCCTGCAGATCAGAGGAATTCTGGGTGTCTAAAGCCAACGAGGCTTAGGCATCCTCTCCCCATCACCCCACGGTGCATAAGCTTCCTCTCCATGGATTGCATCGTCTCCTACCTCAAGCTTATCTCCATGCATCCGTAACTTAACTAGTCGGTTTATAAATATGCAGATGAAACTGGTCGCCACAACATTCCATACAGTTATGAAAGCTGCTCCCAAGATCTGATACATAACTTGTCTGAGGTACTTGTGGAATTTCCCTTCGCTGTAGAACAGACCTGGGCTATACTTGTCTGGTCCAGACATATGAATGATATTATTAGGTGGAAAATGCTGCCCATTGTGAGAGTGCCTAGGTCCAACCAACCATCGGCGTTCGGGATGCAGGCGAGGTCCGTTTCTTCTCTTTCGAGAAGAAAATACTGGGTCGGGGAACCTTCGGGCTTGCCAATATTGGGCCCATCTTGGTCCCAAAAGACACTTTGTGGGCCCATAGAACCCAACATAGTACAGCAAAGGCGTACAGGGCCATGAAAGCAGTGTTCACGGCCCATTTCTTCTTCACCATGCTGCCGTAGAGGATCACGAGTACGGGAACGCTCTGCATGCCAGCCAGCGTCGTGGCCGTCGGCTGCCATGCATTTGTCCGCCTTGTTGAGCCATTGCAGCGATGCCTCGTCCGGAGCAAGCCCAGTAGGGAGAGAGTGAGGTTCTCGTAAGAGTTATAATCCATCAAAAGAATTCAATGGAGAAAGGAAGATATTATTTTCTTGGAAATTTTGGAATAGCTAGGTGGATATTGCAATATAAAGGAGGAACATATTTTGGAATTTTGCAGGGAAGAGCATTGGAATTGCTTCCAACCCAATGTACAGATGATACACTAACATTCTATATTGTCTTTTGTAACTGAGTCA